CTTGGCTACTACGGTGAATTGTATCTTCTATTGTCAGTCCTGCGCCTTAAATTTACAAAAATCCTGTTAAATCTCTTTGCAATTCCTTATTCCTTAAATTCAAACGCTGAAAAGCATGGAATGATAACTAGAAATACTACTCATAACTTCGTATCCTTTCTAGACAATTTAAGTTGTTCGCAAATTGTTTTAAACATTCTTTCAATTTGACCTCCCTGCTTCTAGTTCCTTATTCTGTTTCCAACCCATGAAAGCATACTCTTTTCCCATCCAATCACCTGTTGGGTACAAACTTCAAATAAATACAAATACCATCTCTATGCCCCCTAACTCTTGAATGCCTTTCTGAATACAACAGCACCCTTGGAAACAACAGGGTTTGCCTTAAAATGTGTCTCTACGAATCCAAACAATAGTGGCTTCTTAATGCTCTCTGGACTTGTTGGTTGTTTTCTTGCAGATAAGATACCGTAAACATAAGCCTATTTAAGAAACAATAACAGTTCAACCCTGAACTCCAACTACAGATAGTCCTCAAGTTACAACCACAATAGAGCCCAAAATTTATGTTGCTAAGTGAGAAATCTATTGTGAGTTTTGCCCCGTTTTTACAACTTTCCTTGCCATATTTGTTAAGTGAATCATTGCAGTTGTTAAATTAGTAAACCTGGCTGTTCAAGTGAATCCTGGGACAGTGCAACCATCATAAATGTAAAATCAAAATGTAAATCACATGACCATGGGGATGCTGCATCAGTCATAAGTGTGAAAATACTTACAATACTAGACAACACAGTATCAACAGTAGAGACCTTCAAATTTCTAGGTTCTATCATATCTCAAGACCTAAAATAGACACCTAACATCAAAAACATCATCAAAAAAGCACAACAAAGAATGTTCTTTCTGCGCCAACTCAGGAAGCTCAAACTGTCCAAGGAGCTGTTGCTACTGTTCTACAGAGGAATTATTGAGTCTGTCATCTGCATCTCTAAAACTGTCTGGTTTGGTTCTGCAACTCAACAAGACAGACTTCAGAGGATAATCAGAACTGCAGAAAAAACATTTACTACCAATTTGTCTTCCATTGAGGACCTGTATACTGCACAAGTCAAAAAGAGGGTCGTGAAAATATTTACAGACCCCTCACATTCTGGACATAAATTGTTTCAACTCCTATCCTCAGAATAATGCTATAGATGACTGTATACCAAGACAACTAGACACAAGAACAGTTATTTCCCGAACTCTGCTAAACAAATAATTCCCTCACCACTGTCAAACCATTCACTAAGGCTGCATTACTATTACCATTAGTCTTCTCATCGTTATCACCCATCTCCTCCCACTTATGCCTGCAGGACTGTAACTTTGTTGCTTGTATCCCTACGATTTATATTGATATTGTTTCCTGATTGCTTATTTGCGCCCTATGACTATCATTAAGTGTTGTACCTTATGATTCTTGACAAATGTATCTTGTCTTTTTATATACACAGAGAGCATATGCACCAAAGACAAATTCCTTGTGTGTCCAATCACACTTGGCCAATAAAGAATTCAATTCAATTCTAAAAAACGGTCCCAAGTCCCTTTTTTCAGTGTTGTTAACTATGAATCGTGGCTAAACGAACTGTTGTAAATCAACGACTAGCTACATTCCCTTCTACTGGAATCCAAATCACGTTTCCCTAGCAGGAGGGAATTCTGGGGGTTGCAGTCCAGAGATTTTAAAATCAATTCGAAACAAAAGCCCGATTTTAAAGCACGCCTCTCTCAGCTTACAATGCAGCCCGCCTGCCTGCCTGTTTTCCAGCCGAAACCCCCGGCTGCCTTCCAAGCTACCTGGGAGGATACGTGCAAGGGACGAAGGCGTTCAAGGACCGGCGGCCAAGCCCCCGCGGCGGGGCACTTTCCGACAAGCCTTTCCTCCAGCTTGGAGCAGCCGCGGAGAGGTCGGCTCCGGCAGTAGCAACTTCCTCGGGCGCCCTCCCCAAAGCCGGGCTGCTGCGCTCTGCCGCCACCGCGGTTGCCGGCCTCCAGGAGGTGGGGTAGTAGGAAGCGCCGCTGCTGCCGCCTCCACCGCCGCCGCCGCCAAGCTCCATCCACCCTTAGCCTTCCGCCGCCATCCTCTTCTCCGCCCTACACAGGCCCAGTCATACGCCCCGGCGCGCGGTGGGTCTGACAGGGTTCGGGCGTTCGCGTTCGGGGCTCCTCGGACTGCCCGCAGCGGGGTCCCCGCGAGCCCCACTTGCCGCCTGGGAAGCACCCAGAGAAGCCCCCTCAGCGGGCTCCGGAGCCGCGCGGCCGCCGGCCCACCATCTTAGCAACCGGCAACGCCGCTTTCGTCGCCACGGCAACCGAGGCCGGCGCTGAAGGGGAGGAGCTTCGGAGAGGGAGGGAGAAGCCGAAGGGACTTTCCCCAAGCCAATCTGTCTCGCCGGTCGGGAGAATTCCAACTCCCAGTATTCCTTGCGTCATCCGAAGGGGCGGTGAAGGGAAGAAGGCGCGCTTTTTCGTTCTGACCCCTCCCTCGTGTCCCCTCCCCTCCACCTCCCCCCCCCCGTCTTTCCTCCTTAGGGCTATCAGTCACTATTCAGCAATGCTTTGGCTACACCCAGTCCTGGACCTAGAACAGTTCATTTAGTGACCGTTCAAAGACTTATGACTGTTTTTCAAAAGTACAATCTTTGCCGCATCCCCAAGATCATAGGATTGGATGGGATAGAATATAGGATATAGAATAGAGCAGAACAGAACAGAATTCTTTATTTGTTGTGTCAGCACATCCTGTGTGGCCGGTTATGGTTTGAACTGTTAACAGATTAACAGAGTAGGGACCTTGTAGGTCATCTAGTCCAACCCCACCACCCAAGCAGGAAACCCTACACCAGGGGTAGTCAACCTTTTTATACCAACCAACCAATTTTGTATCTCTGTTAGTAGTCAAAATTTCTAACCGCCCACTGGTTCCATATTAATGGTGATTTATAAAGTAGGGAAGTCAATTAAATTTTAAAAAAGAAAGTGCTTCAATATCGGACAAAACCCGTACCGCCCACCATGAAAGCTGGACCACCCACTGGTGGGCGGTAGGGACCAGGTTGACTACCACTGCCCTACACCATTTCTGACAAATGGCAGTCCAATCTCTTCTTGACAGTCTCCAGTGATAAAGCTCCAACAACTTCTGAGGGCAAGGTGTTCCATTGGTTGGTTGATGTCATCGTCAGAAAGTTCTTCCTTATTTCTAGGTTGAATCTCTCCTTGATCAGTTTCCATCCATTATTCCTTGTCTGACCTCCAGGTGCTTTGGAAAGTAGGTCGACACCCTCCTCTCTGTGGTAGCCCCTCAAATATTGGACACTGCTACCATATCTCCCTCTGGTCCTTCTCTTCATTAGACTAGCCATGGCCAATTCCTGCAGCTGTTCATCATATGTTTTAGCCTCCAGTCCCCTAATACTGTGTTATGTGAACCCAGGCTCTTGAGATAAATCAGTTCATTGTGGAGCCCAGTGATCTCCAAAGCAATATATGCCTTCTCCTAATGCAGACTGTAATATACCATCAAGATGAGTCCTGGCCAGACAAGCATATTCTGTTCTGTTCCTTCTCTGCTCATTTCCCACACTTCACATTTTGTGCGCGAAGAAGAGAAATACATTGTGAGATTTACTAGCACAGCTCTTGTTTTCGCCTTTTAACTAATTTTAATTTGTTGCCTCCTCTTATTTTTATTTTAACTTTTATATACACTGTTTTATACTGTAGGAAGTTAGCACCCATCCCTCTCCTAGAAAAATTAAATATTTTAGGAAATATTAAAAGGGCAGAATATTTCCCCTAAAAAAGGGAGGCAGAAACTCACCCCCACCTTTGTTAATGGCCCATTAAGGTCTGGCCTAGCTTATCTACAACACAAAAACATGGCCTCCAGGACATAATAGGACCCAGCTAGCAACAGAACTCACCCCATGGCACCTGGGAAGATTACATCACCCAGCAGGACTCAATCAAACTTGGGATTCAAAACACAACCCAGAGAGGGCATAAATCCCAGGCACTCTCAGCATCTCTGCACTTTTTGCCCAGGACCTCAAACCATGTGGTCCAGTCCACCATTAAAACCATTGTTCCAAATAGCCACCATTGTTTCCAGTGTCTTTCTCCCCAGTTGGAACTGAACCCAGATGGGCATTTCTTCCAACAATACTTTAACACTTTATTCTACAACACCCGGAGTCCCTCTCTGAGGGAGATGGACAGTACAGAGATGTGACCAACAAACAACTCTTTGGGGAGTGAAAGTTTACAGCCACTGTTTTCAAAGTAGTCTGTTCCATGGAATTGTCTTTTGTAGATGAATTGGTTGTGTGTGGGCATGATAATTCTGTTTAACAAATGATTTTATTGTTCACTTTTTAGCATCGATCCCAAAATAAAATAAACCACATTCAGATGAGTTCACCTATGGATCAAATAGGATCTACTCTGTGCTAGGATTAGAGTTTAGTTAGTTATACCGTGTTTTCCCAAAAATAAGACCAGGTCTTATATTATTTTTTGCTCCAAAAGATGCATTAGGGCTTATTTTCTGATTAGATCTTATTTTGAGGGAAATACGGTACTAATTGTGTCTGTCCAAGGCTTATTTTTTTGGGGGGTGGGGTAGGCCTTATATTACAGGAATCCTGAAAAATCATGCTAGGGCTTATTTTTCAGTTGGGTCTTATTTTCAGGGAAACAGGGTAGTTGCCTTAAAGGTAAAATAATCTGCAGATGAAATCATATTATAGTTTATCATTGGCTTTAGGAACAAACGATGTATGGAGTACCTAAAATCCAATTTATGTAAGGTTATGAAGTCTGGACATGAAAGGGTTGGCTTTTTGGCTAAAGTTGCTGCTAAACACATTCCTGAATTCTTAATTCAAGACTTCATTGGCCAGTGGACAGCCTATTTTCAAGGCAATTTGAAACCGTTTGAAAAATGTTTATTCTTCCAACTCAGACATGATCTATCCTAATAGATCTACCTCACTGATCTTCCTAAATATTATATTTTTGATTTGGGCGGATTCGATAGTTCATAGTGTTGAGCCATGTTCTGCAACGGTAAGGTTTGTGTTGTATTGCCTTGATAAATGATAGAAACATAGAGAGCATACCCTGATTTCAAGCGGTGTTGTTTATTTCACCCCAAACCACTTCAATTGTTTTGGAAAAATCTCTGTTAAAACTATATTGAAGCAACTAGCAACGGAAACTGTGCTTGCTTTTTCCTGTTGTTTGATATATAAATTCTGTGAAACTTGCTGCAATTTACTAGGAATTTTGACATTAACTTCTGCAAAGGCAGGGAAAGTTACCAGATCATTAATAAAAGTAAAACATGGAGGCAGTTCTTTTGATAAATTATATGGGAGTGTTGCAATCTTTAGTTCCTAGATGCATCTGGAGATAAGGACTTGTTTTATTGCACATTTTTATATTAACAAAGGGTTTTTTTGGGGGGGGGGATTCTTTTTGTTATCATTTTATCTGGCGATTCAAACTGGATTTGAAGAAGTTCTAGATATTTTAAAGACCAATTTACTCTTTGCTTTTAAGTGTGAGCTTTATCTGTTTTAAGTGACTAAAAGTTCTAGAAATTCTTTTTTTTTTATTCTTTTTTTTCCTGTCAGAGGTTAGGTGAAAGGTTTAGTTAGTTTATTCTCGGTTTATATATCTCATCACGTCTCTAATTTCAGTCTTTGGCCATTACATTTTGTTATTCTTTTAGGAAATGTGCTTCATAGCATGATGTTCTGGCATGATATTATTGGCTTCAGAAACTGAAGATATTATGATGAATTTCTATAGAAACAACAAACAAAATATCATATGAGCACCCCACAGATTTTCAGTGGAAGTCTATCCAATTGTATTCAGTGGAGTTTCAATGTATACTAAATGCATTTAAGAATTTTCCAAATACAAATTAAGTTTTTTACTTTCAAAGGAGAATTCTACAATGAGTATCACTTACTATGAACTATTCTAAGGGAATATATGTTTATATGAAGATAAAAAGGCCCAGTAGAAATATTTAAATAACCAAAGCATTTTTTCTCCCTAGTTTTAAAAAAATAGTTCAATATATTGTTTTTCTTTTATTCTAAAACTAAAATAAATATTTAAACAGTTATCATGAACATTTGATGTCAAGTCTGATGTGGAAACTCTTCCAAAAAGGTATGTTTATGTCCCAGAATAGTTTTCTCTAAGCTTTTTTACTTTGGATTTTTTTAAAATTTAGCCCTTTATTATTTTTATAAATAACTCAAAGTGGCAAACATACCTAATACTCATTCCTCCTCCTCTTTTTCCCACAACCTTGCATGATTAGTTTGGCTGAGAAAGAGTGATTGATCCAAAGTCACCCAACCATTTTTCATGCCTAAGGCAGGACTAGAACTCATGTTCTCCTGGTTTATAACCTGGTGCCTTAACCACTAGATCTAACTGACTCTCTCCAGATATCTTACAAATTTAGTTTTTGAAATTTCCCAACTACCACGTTGCCTGGGAATTCTGGGAATGGCAGCCCACATCTGGAGGGTGCCAAGTTTTATCCGAAGCATGTGTTAGTATTCTGCATACACCTACAAGCTTGATGCATGAATAGCAATAGTACTTAGTTTTATATACCATTTCATAGTACAATAGGAAACATCAAATTGGTTTGCAAAATACATTGCAAATTAGAGATCTTGGCTTGCATAAAACAGAGTGAGTATACTTGAGATTAGAATGGGGTTGAGTTTTGCTCATAGTTGACTAGTGAACATGCAACAGGGTTGGCACTGTCATATCTAAAATTCTGTTTAGATAAAGCACCACCAGAGCAAACACAGAGTACAGTCACCATGTGTTTTACTGCTCAACTATATTACAGTAACAGGAAACAGGAAACTACTCAGAACAAAAGAGCATAGAGTATATACCATAGAGCCAGACTTATAAATACTGCCATCTACTGGCTGAATACTACTGTAGTTGTTGCATAGAAACACATTCCAACAATGAATTCCAACACTACCATTTATAAGAATGCTTCATATGGTAAGGATGTGACTTAGGCTGGAAACAATACCATACCCATCTTTATGGGAAAGCTTTAATTAACTAAAGATGGCAGAGGTCAGTGTTTATGAATGTATCCAGTAATGCAATAGCATCTGAATAATTACATTTTGTGATTTAAGAGGTGTCACTGGTAAACATCATGTGTAAAGGGAAGTGAAAAAGAAGGAGGGAAAAGAAAACATGAATGTTTGTGAAACTAAGAGAAAAGGAAAAGATGTAATTGATCTGAATAAGAAACCAGGAGAAGGTGAGTTCTAGATTTAGGCGCAAAAAATGTTTGGGCAACTTTGGATCAGTCCCTCTTTCTCAGACCAACTAATCTTGCAAGGTTGCTGTGAGATTAGTTGCTGCTGAATGAAGGTGATCTGGTCTTGTGAAACCTACAAGTCCTGTATAAAAAAAGTATATAGATGATGAATGGAAGTTAAAAAAACCATGGGTATTTGAGACAAGGGAAATAGTCATTCTCTCAGTTCTGAAAATGCAAAGGCTTTTAATTTCCACTGTGTTTATTTTTTTTGTATTATGTTAGGCACCTTGACACCACATACATCAGAAATTAAAGAATTTTTTTTAAGAAATAACATTTTGTTTGATTTAATGTTACAGGGCAATTCCACAGCAACTGTAGTGATGGAGTCCGCCAGTCTAATAACAAAAAATCTCTCCACGGACAATTTAGAGAAGAAAAAGAGTGAGGCATCCTCTGATTCTCAACCTAAACTATTAAGGGAAGAAAAACACTATATGTGTCGTATGTATATTTTTATTTTAACCACTCTTTCATGTCATTTGTTATTTGAGGCCAATCAACATATAATATATATGTAGGATTTCAGGAATTGGCAACCCATCCATTTAAATCTCTGACAAAGAGTGTTATGTTATAGGGTATATAACCAGGGATGGGCTTCAAAATTTTTAGCAAGGGGTTCTCTTCCTGGTTGCTGGGTGGGCATGACCATGGTGGGTGTGTCTTAGTCAACCTCCTGCACCACAGTGTGTGTGGGGGGGGGAGTGCGTTTTTGCCCTCCCCGGCCTCTGGAGGCCTTCCTCAAGCCTCCGAGAGGGTGAAAAGGGCCTCCCCAAGATCCGGAGGCAGGAAATGGGCCCATTTCCAGCCCTCCCAAACTTCCCTTAGGCCTGTTTTCCATCCTCCCCCTGAGCCTCTGCGCGCCCTGCACTTACCTGCATTCAAAATGGGCTGGGTGGGGACTCTTGGGAGGGGCAGGGCATGGTGGGTGGGGCCAGCCAGGAGTGGGATTTGGGGGTTCTCCAAACTGCACAGAATCTTAGCTAGAGGTTCTCCCGAACCGCTGCGAATTCCCAGCAGCCCACCTCTGTATATAACATATCACTGTTTGTGAAATTGTGAAATTATAATATCATCAATTAGCAACTTTTTTTTTCTTATGCCTGCCATATCCATCATTGTCATTGACCTTCCTACAGATTACTTCTCACAGTATAGAATTCTTTACATTAAATAAAATATTGCTTTGTCTCACACAATATGTTTCTATCCATATATGGTAAACTTCTCAACTAGGGCCCACCCATATTGGTATTTGGCAGTACACTACTTGTGAACTGATATTTTCAGAGAAAGCCACTTGATAGTTTTTGGGTTTTTTTTTGCCATGATGATGAAATAAATATCATTTTTCCAGACCAGTTCATTGTGTTGAAATTCTAATTTGTTTCAAAATGTTTCACATCTAGTAACACAGACATTTACAAGCACCATATACTGAAGTATTTGGCTTGTTAACTCAATATTATCTGTATCTATTATATATTCCAATCAATATTATCTATTATATATTCGAATTTGACTGCTTGAATCTCACCAGGTTGGCTCAGCTTTCCATCCTTCCGAGGTCGGTAAAATGAGGACACAAATTTTGGGGGCAATAGACTGTTTCTATAAACCTCTCAGAGAGGGCTGTAAAAGCACTGTGAAGCAATATATACAAGTCTAAATGCTATTCCTATATCTGACAAATGGTTTTTCTTTCCAGCTAGGAAAGAAAATAACCAGTAGTTATGATTTTTTTCGGGAGCTGAGTTACCACCTTTCATTAGTCCATCTCCTTTAAAAAAAACATTAAATTCTGTTGAAAAAGGTTTTGCACAAACAAACCCATTTCATATGGCTAGCAAAAGACAAACTGAAAACAATGTTCCACGTTGCCTCATAATTAATTATACAATGCATTCTTTAATTACTTTAACATAGCAGGCAATCTATATGTTTAAAGGGAAATTGCAGAATTCTCTAATTGAATATGCAAGAAGTACTAAGAAGATGATACGGAACATGATGGATGATCACCAGTCATCTCTAGATTATCTCTCCAATCAGGTAACCGCCAATATTTGCTAAATGGATTTCTTTTCGGGCAACGATAATATAATTGAATTGTTGACAATTAACAGATAATGTGGGCACTTTATCTGAAAAAAGTTTTTTATTGTTGAGGGGAAAAAATATTGCGGTCTTACAATGTCTGAAAAAAACATGACTCCACATTTGAAAGGCTATGAACAGGCCATTTGCATCACTGGAAATCTAGATGAGAATCTTGAAATTTGTTAAGAATTCTTCACTTTGACCACTCGTAGTTAGAAATTTTGATTTTTTTTAAAGAATAGATATGATTTATATGATCAAATATTAGGGATAATTCATTTAATCGGCTTAATTTAGAGTATTAAGGGATTGGGGAGTCAATGTATGCTAAAATCCAAGACCAATCACAAGGGACATGATTCTCACGGTTGGACGAGGCAAGCAGGTTTTCAAAAATCCAAATTGCAAACGTACAGGTGTCCTCGACTTACGACTGTTCATTTAGCGACCGTTCAAAGTTACAAGGTCACCGAAAAAAGTGACCATTTTTCACACTGAACAACCGTTGCAACAGCCTGATGGTCGTGTGATCAAAATTCAGACACTTGGCAACTGACTCCTATTTATGATGGTTGCAACGTCCTGGGATTACCTTTTGCGACCTTCTAACAAGCAAAGTCAATGGGAAGGCCAGATTCACTTAACAACCATGTTATTAACTTAGCAACTGCAGTGATTCACTTAACAACTGTGGCAATAAAGGTTGTAAAAAGGTTGTAACTGCCTCACTTAGCAACAGAAGTTTTGGGATCCATAGTGGTCGTAGGTCGAGGGCTACCTGTAATGAGGATTCGGGTAGAACAGGAGGTGATACAAAGAAAAGAAAGTTTTGAGGCATATTCATTGCTGTTGTCCTTTTTAGAACTCCACTCTTGTACATGCTTTCATAGCAGGGTGAAAGAAAACTTTCAGAGGCAATAGCAATAGCACTTAGACTTATATACCGCTTCACAATGCCTTCCTGCCCTATGAGCCATGGTGGCACAGTGGTTAGTGTGCAGTACTGCAGGCTACTTCTACTGATTACTGACTGCCAGCAGTTTTGCAGATTGACTCTCACCGGGCTCAAGGTTGACTCAGCCTTCCATCCTTCTGAGCAGGGGTGGGTTCCTTCCAGTTCTAACCTCTTCTATAGAAGAGGTTCCACAAATCTACAGTGCCGTTTTGAACCAGTTCCAGCTCCCTCCCCCAGCCCATCCGCACATCATCAAGATGAAGAGCGAGAGGAGGAATTCTGGGAGTTGAAGTCCACAAGTCTTAAAGCTGTCAAGTTTGAACACCCCTGTGGGTTTTTTTNATTACTATTACCATTAGTCTTCTCATCGTTATCACCCATCTCCTCCCACTTATGCCTGCAGGACTGTAACTTTGTTGCTTGTATCCCTACGATTTATATTGATATTGTTTCCTGATTGCTTATTTGCGCCCTATGACTATCATTAAGTGTTGTACCTTATGATTCTTGACAAATGTATCTTGTCTTTTTATATACACAGAGAGCATATGCACCAAAGACAAATTCCTTGTGTGTCCAATCACACTTGGCCAATAAAGAATTCAATTCAATTCTAAAAAACGGTCCCAAGTCCCTTTTTTCAGTGTTGTTAACTATGAATCGTGGCTAAACGAACTGTTGTAAATCAACGACTAGCTACATTCCCTTCTACTGGAATCCAAATCACGTTTCCCTAGCAGGAGGGAATTCTGGGGGTTGCAGTCCAGAGATTTTAAAATCAATTCGAAACAAAAGCCCGATTTTAAAGCACGCCTCTCTCAGCTTACAATGCAGCCCGCCTGCCTGCCTGTTTTCCAGCCGAAACCCCCGGCTGCCTTCCAAGCTACCTGGGAGGATACGTGCAAGGGACGAAGGCGTTCAAGGACCGGCGGCCAAGCCCCCGCGGCGGGGCACTTTCCGACAAGCCTTTCCTCCAGCTTGGAGCAGCCGCGGAGAGGTCGGCTCCGGCAGTAGCAACTTCCTCGGGCGCCCTCCCCAAAGCCGGGCTGCTGCGCTCTGCCGCCACCGCGGTTGCCGGCCTCCAGGAGGTGGGGTAGTAGGAAGCGCCGCTGCTGCCGCCTCCACCGCCGCCGCCGCCAAGCTCCATCCACCCTTAGCCTTCCGCCGCCATCCTCTTCTCCGCCCTACACAGGCCCAGTCATACGCCCCGGCGCGCGGTGGGTCTGACAGGGTTCGGGCGTTCGCGTTCGGGGCTCCTCGGACTGCCCGCAGCGGGGTCCCCGCGAGCCCCACTTGCCGCCTGGGAAGCACCCAGAGAAGCCCCCTCAGCGGGCTCCGGAGCCGCGCGGCCGCCGGCCCACCATCTTAGCAACCGGCAACGCCGCTTTCGTCGCCACGGCAACCGAGGCCGGCGCTGAAGGGGAGGAGCTTCGGAGAGGGAGGGAGAAGCCGAAGGGACTTTCCCCAAGCCAATCTGTCTCGCCGGTCGGGAGAATTCCAACTCCCAGTATTCCTTGCGTCATCCGAAGGGGCGGTGAAGGGAAGAAGGCGCGCTTTTTCGTTCTGACCCCTCCCTCGTGTCCCCTCCCCTCCACCTCCCCCCCCCCGTCTTTCCTCCTTAGGGCTATCAGTCACTATTCAGCAATGCTTTGGCTACACCCAGTCCTGGACCTAGAACAGTTCATTTAGTGACCGTTCAAAGACTTATGACTGTTTTTCAAAAGTACAATCTTTGCCGCATCCCCAAGATCATAGGATTGGATGGGATAGAATATAGGATATAGAATAGAGCAGAACAGAACAGAATTCTTTATTTGTTGTGTCAGCACATCCTGTGTGGCCGGTTATGGTTTGAACTGTTAACAGATTAACAGAGTAGGGACCTTGTAGGTCATCTAGTCCAACCCCACCACCCAAGCAGGAAACCCTACACCAGGGGTAGTCAACCTTTTTATACCAACCAACCAATTTTGTATCTCTGTTAGTAGTCAAAATTTCTAACCGCCCACTGGTTCCATATTAATGGTGATTTATAAAGTAGGGAAGTCAATTAAATTTTAAAAAAGAAAGTGCTTCAATATCGGACAAAACCCGTACCGCCCACCATGAAAGCTGGACCACCCACTGGTGGGCGGTAGGGACCAGGTTGACTACCACTGCCCTACACCATTTCTGACAAATGGCAGTCCAATCTCTTCTTGACAGTCTCCAGTGATAAAGCTCCAACAACTTCTGAGGGCAAGGTGTTCCATTGGTTGGTTGATGTCATCGTCAGAAAGTTCTTCCTTATTTCTAGGTTGAATCTCTCCTTGATCAGTTTCCATCCATTATTCCTTGTCTGACCTCCAGGTGCTTTGGAAAGTAGGTCGACACCCTCCTCTCTGTGGTAGCCCCTCAAATATTGGACACTGCTACCATATCTCCCTCTGGTCCTTCTCTTCATTAGACTAGCCATGGCCAATTCCTGCAGCTGTTCATCATATGTTTTAGCCTCCAGTCCCCTAATACTGTGTTATGTGAACCCAGGCTCTTGAGATAAATCAGTTCATTGTGGAGCCCAGTGATCTCCAAAGCAATATATGCCTTCTCCTAATGCAGACTGTAATATACCATCAAGATGAGTCCTGGCCAGACAAGCATATTCTGTTCTGTTCCTTCTCTGCTCATTTCCCACACTTCACATTTTGTGCGCGAAGAAGAGAAATACATTGTGAGATTTACTAGCACAGCTCTTGTTTTCGCCTTTTAACTAATTTTAATTTGTTGCCTCCTCTTATTTTTATTTTAACTTTTATATACACTGTTTTATACTGTAGGAAGTTAGCACCCATCCCTCTCCTAGAAAAATTAAATATTTTAGGAAATATTAAAAGGGCAGAATATTTCCCCTAAAAAAGGGAGGCAGAAACTCACCCCCACCTTTGTTAATGGCCCATTAAGGTCTGGCCTAGCTTATCTACAACACAAAAACATGGCCTCCAGGACATAATAGGACCCAGCTAGCAACAGAACTCACCCCATGGCACCTGGGAAGATTACATCACCCAGCAGGACTCAATCAAACTTGGGATTCAAAACACAACCCAGAGAGGGCATAAATCCCAGGCACTCTCAGCATCTCTGCACTTTTTGCCCAGGACCTCAAACCATGTGGTCCAGTCCACCATTAAAACCATTGTTCCAAATAGCCACCATTGTTTCCAGTGTCTTTCTCCCCAGTTGGAACTGAACCCAGATGGGCATTTCTTCCAACAATACTTTAACACTTTATTCTACAACACCCGGAGTCCCTCTCTGAGGGAGATGGACAGTACAGAGATGTGACCAACAAACAACTCTTTGGGGAGTGAAAGTTTACAGCCACTGTTTTCAAAGTAGTCTGTTCCATGGAATTGTCTTTTGTAGATGAATTGGTTGTGTGTGGGCATGATAATTCTGTTTAACAAATGATTTTATTGTTCACTTTTTAGCATCGATCCCAAAATAAAATAAACCACATTCAGATGAGTTCACCTATGGATCAAATAGGATCTACTCTGTGCTAGGATTAGAGTTTAGTTAGTTATACCGTGTTTTCCCAAAAATAAGACCAGGTCTTATATTATTTTTTGCTCCAAAAGATGCATTAGGGCTTATTTTCTGATTAGATCTTATTTTGAGGGAAATACGGTACTAATTGTGTCTGTCCAAGGCTTATTTTTTTGGGGGGTGGGGTAGGCCTTATATTACAGGAATCCTGAAAAATCATGCTAGGGCTTATTTTTCAGTTGGGTCTTATTTTCAGGGAAACAGGGTAGTTGCCTTAAAGGTAAAATAATCTGCAGATGAAATCATATTATAGTTTATCATTGGCTTTAGGAACAAACGATGTATGGAGTACCTAAAATCCAATTTATGTAAGGTTATGAAGTCTGGACATGAAAGGGTTGGCTTTTTGGCTAAAGTTGCTGCTAAACACATTCCTGAATTCTTAATTCAAGACTTCATTGGCCAGTGGACAGCCTATTTTCAAGGCAATTTGAAACCGTTTGAAAAATGTTTATTCTTCCAACTCAGACATGATCTATCCTAATAGATCTACCTCACTGATCTTCCTAAATATTATATTTTTGATTTGGGCGGATTCGATAGTTCATAGTGTTGAGCCATGTTCTGCAACGGTAAGGTTTGTGTTGTATTGCCTTGATAAATGATAGAAACATAGAGAGCATACCCTGATTTCAAGCGGTGTTGTTTATTTCACCCCAAACCACTTCAATTGTTTTGGAAAAATCTCTGTTAAAACTATATTGAAGCAACTAGCAACGGAAACTGTGCTTGCTTTTTCCTGTTGTTTGATATATAAATTCTGTGAAACTTGCTGCAATTTACTAGGAATTTTGACATTAACTTCTGCAAAGGCAGGGAAAGTTACCAGATCATTAATAAAAGTAAAACATGGAGGCAGTTCTTTTGATAAATTATATGGGAGTGTTGCAATCTTTAGTTCCTAGATGCATCTGGAGATAAGGACTTGTTTTATTGCACATTTTTATATTAACAAAGGGTTTTTTTGGGGGGGGGGATTCTTTTTGTTATCATTTTATCTGGCGATTCAAACTGGATTTGAAGAAGTTCTAGATATTTTAAAGACCAATTTACTCTTTGCTTTTAAGTGTGAGCTTTATCTGTTTTAAGTGACTAAAAGTTCTAGAAATTCTTTTTTTTTTATTCTTTTTTTTCCTGTCAGAGGTTAGGTGAAAGGTTTAGTTAGTTTATTCTCGGTTTATATATCTCATCACGTCTCTAATTTCAGTCTTTGGCCATTACATTTTGTTATTCTTTTAGGAAATGTGCTTCATAGCATGATGTTCTGGCATGATATTATTGGCTTCAGAAACTGAAGATATTATGATGAATTTCTATAGAAACAACAAACAAAATATCATATGAGCACCCCACAG